CCACATTTAAATGAGAGCATGATATTTCTCTTTCTGTGTCTGACTTATTTCACAATGTCTTTTACTTCCATCCATGTTACCACAAATGACAGAATTTCATTCTTTTTATGACTAAATAATATAGCATTAAAGGACTTAAAGCTGTACTATCTCAAAATTTACCAAATTGGTATGTTGATTTTTTTCAAGCTGAAATCACTTGAGGGACAGTAACTTTGGAGAGGGCCATTTGACCTATTCTTTCCCTGGCTGCAACAAGATTCTCTTGAAAGGGCTTTCCTTCACATACCAAGGCTGGAAAATAGCCTTGATCACTAAAAGCTGGTAATGGGGCTACAATAAACCTAAATAAGCAAACTTATTACCTTATCTCCCACCAGCTTCTGCATCCCCTCAACACCCTTTATCTTTTAGCTACATCCTTAGCATTGACAGCCCTAGCCAGAGTTCCATCTGCCCTGTCATCCTTCACAAATTTATTATTCTTTGTCTAAAAAGTATAAAAGTATCATACTTTGCTCATTTCTTGAAACTTCACTCTTTTGTAAAGATGTATATATATGTGTGTGTGTGTGTGTGTGTGTGTGTGTGTGTGTGTAAATTTAATAAAACTTTTTTGCTTTTCTCTTGTTAATCCACTTTTTTTAATTGGATTCCTAGATATAGCCAAAGAGTCCACATAGGCACTAAGGAGGGTAGAGGAAATCTCTCTCACACCTACAGTGTATATATACTACATTTTCTTTATCCATTCATCCATCAGTCAGATTTTGTTTTTTAAAGGTAGTTTAGAGGCATTTCTGATTATTTAATAGATTTTATCTTGAAGGCAAAATATATTGAACTCATAGGGAATCTTTGATCAAAATGGAAAGATTAACTTTGATCTTATCTATTATCTTTGAACATAATTCCCTACTTTGGACTGCTGATATGAAACAGCTTGGATTTTTTTATTCATAATGTAAATACTACTTTGCACCTGATTTTAGATTCCATTGAAGTCATGGAGACTTGTGCTTTTCATTTTTAGATGAAATGTGGACCCAATAAATAGATAAAGGCTCACTGAAGCCATGAACTTCAATTTCTGGCAACATTTTCAACTTGGTTTTTTATAACTGAACCCTTGTAGGACARAGAATTCTGTAATCATTTGAAACTAATCATGGGTGTGTAAATGAAATTACCATATCAAAATCAAGCATAACTTGGCCAGGGTCCTGTAGGAAGTGCCACATATACTATAAGGAGAGTCTCCAGCTTTGACCCTAAGGAGGCAAACCCAGAACTCAACTATTCTGGGATGCAGTTCAGAGAGTTCTTTGAAATCTCCTTATTTAGCTACAAAATGCATGCTCATTTTACATTTAACTTTATGTTTTTATGTCTATTTTTAAAATAAAAAGCTTTACTTAAAATTTTGAGTAAAATTGACGCTTCAAGGCAGACACTCTTGCCCCTGGGCACATCCACCTACCTCTAGGAATGAAAGTGCCCATCTGAGAAGTCCTGGGAGGCTGGAAGGTGGAAGAAGTAGGCCATCATGCATATATGACTGAGTGATTAGACACAATTGAGTATTTTTAGAAACAGCCTCATCTTTCATGCAGTGATACTGTGAAAAGAAAAGGTAGTATCTGAATAATGTGGTAGAGAGCAAAGGCTAAAGTAGCCTTGTCAACAGAGCTAAAAGTCTCCCTACTGTTGAAACAGAAGTCTCCCCCTCTACCCACCACTAGAGTTGAAAGCCCTGATAGCAGCTCTGCTTTGCTGAAACGCATTTTGATGTTTGTTCCAAAGCCCTGCAAATTCATACTCAAAACTTACAGCATGAGAATGGGAGTAGGAGAGATGCATCTGATTTAACCCCAAAGGCCTTAATTCAACTCAAAGATCCTTGCCAATACCCTAGGAAATCATCTGCACACACCAACAGGCTTGGTTAGGAATCTGCTAAGCCATTTGCCAAGTAGGCTTTGTTGTGGAAACATTTATTTGCGACTGCCAGAGCTGTGTCTGAGATGCAGGGGCAGACTGACCCAGCTCCAAGTGACTGGAATAACAATCAGACCTTGGACACAGACCAAAGGGAATGTGTCAGACCTGAGAAGACAAGCAATATCCCTACATCCCTGATGTCCCCACCTCTCTACCTCAGGTCACTTCAGGGTGAAGCTATTTTGGCTGAGCCTTCATGTCACTCTCACAGTCAACAAACCATAGTAGAGTCTGTCTGAGTGCAGCAGATTTCTCAACCTCGAACGTGCCTCTGCAGCTCAGCTCCAACAAGAAGTCGGAGTGTCCAACCTTCCCAGGCCCGGGCAGACATTTTTACTTCCTGGAAAATAGTTGTCACAGCTACTATTGCTTCCACTTTTATATCATCAGACTGGGGCTCAGGTGATGTTGTAAATAACATTAATGAACAGCCAAGTTTTGATAGAATTTTATGTAGTCTTAAATAATATGAGTTTCCCTTCTGAGCATCTAAAAACTTTAATACTTTTTTTCTGTTGATAGACACAATTTTTTTTTAATTCTCTAACTTTTAACTGATACATAAAAACAGCATGTTTATGGAGTACCCTGTGATGTTTCAAATCATTATACACTGTATAATGATCAAATCAGGGTAAACATATCTATTTCCTTAGATATTTATCATTTATAGTGAGAACATGTAAAATCCTTTTTTCTAACTCTTTGAAATATACAATACATTATTATCATCTGTACTCACTCTACTGGACAGGAGCACTCCAGAACTTCTTATTTCTATCTAACTGTAACTTAGTGCCCATTGATCAACCTTCCCCCACTACTTCCTCTCTCCTGCTTTAATGCAATAAAGATTTTTTAAAAATAACAACAACAAAACAAAACAAAACAAAAAAACCCTCTTTGTGCATAGCCTGAATTTCAGCCAGCAAAAGAATGCTTAAATAAAAAGAACAAAAATATGCATGCTTTTAAAAGGAAGGAATCGATACAGTGTCCTTTGTTATCATTGCACATTTAAGTTAATTTTAGCCTGGCATGATATAGGCAGTTTAATCCACACCTTTTAAAAATGTAAATTGAATCCATTCACTATAAACATGTATTTTTACAAAGCTCTGTGAAAATGATGGTTTTTGTTGTTTCCTCAAAGAACTTATATTCTAAGAAGAAGACAGGTAAGTGTGGAAATTTTTAAGCTAGCAAAGACTTCATCAGTCCGTTCTGTCTTGGTTAGGCAAGTATAGCAGTGTAAGGGAGTTCATCCTGCCCAGGTCACCTATTGCCTTCGCCTAGGCAGAGTTGAAAAAGAAGAAAATTACATAACATTAAGGGATTTTGAAGCCCTGATTGTTCCCTGGAGGACTGGCCATTTACAGAGTTAAAAGATTGGTCTATCCTGAGGATGTAGTCTCATTTATTTGTTGGTCATTTCTCTGTGTCAGCCAATCAATAGAAAGAAGAAACACAAATTAGAAAGGAATGGTTAGTCAGCTTTGCATCTCTGTGACCAGAATACCTGGCAAGAACAACTTAGAGGAGGAAAGATTTATTTTGGCTCATGGTTTCAGAGGATTCTGTGGTCAGTCAGCTTCAAGCAGAAACATCATGGTGGAAGAGCATGGTGGAGAAAAGCTGCTCAGTTCATGGCAGCCTGGAAGCAGAGCTGGGGAGGAGGATAGTAGCCAAACTCACCAATCCCAGCTATGTCTTACTCTGTTTCTTTATTATCAAATGGGAGTAAGAGACAGAAACCTATTGAAGAGTATGACAAGCTCCTATCTCACTTGATGCCAAGCCCCATTGCGTGTGCCACCCCCATTGGTTCTCTCTGCTGAACAGCCCAGCATCACTGAGATGCACCTCACACCTAAGCCTAGCAAAATTTGCCTGCAAAGTGTAGCCAAGCTTACAGGTCTACCAGGGATGCCTATTTTCAACAGGAGGAAGTAGTGTAAAAACCCCTTCTTATTCCCTTGAGCTGAAGCTGTGAGACCTAGCAATTTACAATCATTAATCTCAGGAGGTTTACGGGAACATTCAGTCACACCATCAAGAACACTCAGAGAAGAAACAGAGTAAACCCAAACAATCTACAAAGGGACTTTGAATAAGAGATTATTGGATTTTCCATTTTTCCCTTTCTTCAGTACAGATTATCTTCTTAAAAATGGATACTGTGCAGATTTACTTGATACTCAGATTTTTTAAATTTGTTTTCTGTAAACAAAACATGTTCAAAGGTATCTAGGAAGAGTTAATTCTGCTTTAGAATTAATACTTAAAATCCTTTCTGAGAAAAGTTTTCCTAGGAGAGAATGGAAACCAGGACTCTAGCAGTTTTGATTAACCAATCTACGTATATTAAACAATGACAGAAAATGAAACATTTTAGCAACCTGGTTTGCAAATACCTGCTAGACTGTAGATAATCCATGTAACAATTATGTTCTGAAATTTCCCAGGAAAGCAATTAATTAAATTAGAGAGACTTCAGAGTAACTTCTTAATGCCATGTTCGGGTTCCTCCCTAATGAACAGTTTCCTGGAAATCCCTAAATAATAATAATAAGTGGAGATACAGCAGTTTAACACTGCACTTTCCTAAATGAAAACACATTATAATTACAATGGTGAACATTTATTGACCTATCATTCTACTGCCTTAGGCCCTGCCTTAATAGATACTTTTTTGCAAATTTGAATCCGAAAAGGCATTGTTTGCATAAATAGTTACAAAGGACCTATAATATCACAGTAATTATGTTTGTTGATTTCTCTGAAAAGTACCCCTCACTCCCATTCACAGATCCTCCCTTACCAGGGAAGATTAGGTTGCCAGCTTATTTTAATCAATGGTTGTCCAGTGAAATCACAATACTGCTGTCTTCCTTGTCTGTATTTGGAGAAATAACAGTGATTTAGCCTGTTTGTGTTGGAGTGTGAGTCTCTGTTTCAATGCTTATTTTGCTTGTCTCCCATTTCCCTTCTTCTTACAGATTTTTAAAAGCATTGGCTCTGATGAGACCGTCCAAGGGCAAGGAAGTCGGAGGCTGATCAGCTTTTCTCTCTCAGGTATGTGTTGTTCACCTACAAGCCTTGTGGAAAGAATGAGAATGTCAATCAAGAGTAGGAGGCCCCTTCAATTTGACTCTAACCTACAAGTTACAAGTTACTCAACCTCTCTGTTTCTTGACTTCCCCATCTGTAAAGCTAACCTAAAAAGTAATCTGCTTAGTTCCCCTTGACCTAATGAAGATAATGGAGAATTCAGTAAGTAACAAATGTAAAAGCACTTTGAGGTGATGGGAATGGAAGATGCTCTTCTGCTTTTCCTCCAAGATCAAGTGGCAATAATTGAGAGTTTACAAAGGGAAAATTGGGGAGAGCCAGGGGAGAAGCAGCGAACCCTTCCTTTGTCTAATAAAACTTCCAGTGGACCCCAGTTAATAAAACAGATAAAACCATTTCAAAAAGCACGTTCATGGAAAAAGAAGTGGAATCCAGATAAATTCTTCTAATTTAGTTCGTAGTATTTTAGTTAATAGTTGAGTAAGATAATTTTTAGTTTTTGTGAATGGACTATGGTTCTATACTATGTTAACAGTGGGGAAAACTAGATAAAGGGTGGGTAGGGCATCTGTGCATTATCTTTGCAACTCTTCTATAAATCTGAAATCATTTCAAAATTAAAAGTTTAAAAGAAGTCCTGAACAACTTTGTTTAAAATGATATATGAGACTCAAGACTTCGCATACTCCATTCCAACTCAGTGGGCTTTAAGAGAACAAAATGCCACGAAGCCCAGGGACTCCGTGGAGCACAATTTGAAAACTACAACCTTAACTTGTCAAACCAACAAATGTTACAGACCATGAATGTCAGAGATCAGAGAATAGAATAAACATAAAGTGCTTGAATACTTTATGCTTGAGCCTCCTTGGGAGATGGACAGCAATCTGGGGCTTTTCAAATCAAAGTAAGCCCAGTAGAGCAAATGAGTGTCTAAAGATCCATTAACAATATTAGCATGTGTCTGTCCAGGTTGAAAAAGTGAGGGGAAAAAAAGAACTCAAAAATTTGGTTATTACTAGATTAAATCAGACAACTTGTGACTTGTCATTGCCATGTTCTTGTTAAAATGCTTGAGAAACAACAATCATTAGTGCAATCTCCAAAAAAAAAAAAGTAGGAATAAGGAATCCTACACAATTGTGTACAAGAAACCAAGAGGAATTTTCCCTAACCAAAGCTCCAGTGAGGTCCTATAGCCCAAGAGGCATGGCATGCAGGGCAGCAGAGCAGGAATAGGGAAGAGACAAAGTCTCAATTCCTTTGTCCCCATTTTGCTTCTGACTTGCAGACCTGAGCTCACAGACCTTCCAGAGGAAATAAAACCCTTCCACTCCAACATGCTTCACAGACCTGATAAGATATCAATGGGGGCTTATCTCCAATAGTCTCACAATATATTATTTTTCTTACACTTAATCCAAAACAGTTCCCAGCAATGAAATGTGACTGGTGACATAAAGTTGGTAGCTAAAGGAGAAAGCCTGAAATGGTAATGAAGCTCTAACGCTCAGTAGGTATATATGCGTCTGTGTGTTTATTTCACTATGTTTGTATAGGGAAAAAATGCTGCTGGAAGTATCAAAATGAATTCTATGATTCAGAGAAAGACAATATAGAAAGATCAGCTAACCTATAGCTAAGCAAAATCTGTGAAGCATCAAAAAATGACTAGATGCTGGTCATGTCTGAGTAGTTGGATTCATTTATTACAAGGACTTCTCACCAAAAAGCAATTTAGTATATACACTAGTAAATGCTCCAAATATATGGAATCAAATGTCCCATAACATATGCTAGTAAATTTTCCAAAAATAGAGGGATGTGTCTCCAGATAGACTCATCCATCCATGTTTGTAATCAGATAGAAAATATTCCAAAATTTGAAAAGATTTTTCCACATTTTAGATGGACTTTTCTCTTTCTATAATGCCCAATATGCTATTTAACCTCATTAAAACATACTTCAATTAAAATATTGCTCTATTTTATAGATTTCCAGGCGATGGGGTTGAAGAAAGGGATGTTTTTCAACCCAGACCCTTATCTGAAGATTTCTATTCAGCCTGGGAAGCACAGCATCTTCCCTGCCCTTCCTCACCATGGACAGGAGAGGAGATCCAAGATCATAGGCAACACAGTGAACCCCATCTGGCAGGCGGAGGTAAGTGCCAGGGGCCCTAAAAGGGGGTCTAAGGAACATAGCCAAGTGACTGACCCTAACCTTAAAGCTTATGTGATTTTCTCTTCTTTCATGGGGCCTTAGGTTCTGGGGGTATCCCCCTGGCTCTGAGACTTCCGGTCTTGGGAAGGAGCTGCGTTCTCTGTAGATTGCTGCTCTTAGGGATCTAATCAAGGCTGTCCATTGCAGCTGCTCTCAGTAACCTCTGATTCAGAACCTGTGCCTGCAAGCAGGATACCCTTTCTCTCTGCCCTTTGTGTGGGAGAAGGAAGAAAAGTGTATTCAGCTGAGACTTGCAGTTTCTCACAGCTCTTCCCATGCATGTGGTCTTCAAGCAAGAATGCCCAGTGGCATATGTAGCCCTCTAAACCAGTTGCACAGATCCTAAAATTATCGGGTTCCTGAGACCGGTAAATTAATGAGTCCTAGAGTATTCCTGATTGTGTTACACATCATATTGCTTGATTTAAACATATAAAATCTAATCACTTATCCATCTTGGTGGTCTGAACAGTTCCAGGCAGATTGTTAAGAGTGGTGAACAGTTTGATTCATCTGATAAGGTGCTTCTCTACTTCTGAATGTGTCTCCTCTACCTGCCAGGAGATAGGGGATTCCTCAACAAAGTCACACATCAGACTTGACTGTATAATGACTAAGTCCTCTCCTAGAGAACATGCAGAGAGTTGTCACAACCCATTTTGCTGCCTAGCTCTCAGGCTTCAGCAAACTGTGTGGATGAAGGAGCAGGGAGGCTCCAGGAAAGACAGTGGATAGAGTATAAGGCAGAGGTCAAAAGTACAGAGTTTTGCCAGGCACAGTGGTACATGCCTGTAATTCTAGAGACTCAGGAGGCTGACACAGGACAATTGCAAATTCAAAGCCAGTCTAAGCAACTTAATGAGGACCTAAACAACTTTACGAGACCCTGTCTTAAAATAAAAAATAAAAAGGGTTGGGGATGTGGCTCAGTGGTTAAGTGCCCCTGGGTACCATCTCCAATACAAAAAATAAATAAATAAATAAAAGTACAGCTTTTCAATCACACAGACCAAGGTTCAAATCCCAGCTTAGCCAGTTAAGTTTTGGAGATGTAAGAGACCTATGATCCTCTATTAGAGGCTTGGATTCTCCTCATCTGCCTGTGACGGATGGAGATGTGCTCCTGCTCATGGCACTTGTTTCAGACAAGATTACATCTTTTATTATTCAGAACAGACCCCCTCGGAGGTAGAACTTTCAAGCATCCTTGACAAGAAAATGTAATTAGATATTTGGGAGCAGACCTGTTTCATTGTCTCTTAAATTATACCACCTCCTTCCTCAGCTTAATGACCCCTCTCCTGGGCTTCACAGAAGAGCTCCATTAGAGCTCAGAAGTGGGCATAGGGGAAATAGAGCTGTACTTAAACGTGCTACTAGCTTTAGTTATCAACAGATTCTAAAACAGTGTCCCCAGCATGAAATAATGAATCTTAAATCATTTTTTTTCCTTTAGTCCTGGTTATTCTCACCAATTACTTCTGGTCTCTTCACTGCATTCCTAGGGATAATACAAGATGCTACAGGAATTAATGGCATATGAAAAAAAAAAAAAACCTTGAGCAATTTATTTAAGACACTTAGTCATGAAGGTGTTACAGTCAGTCTTAGATTATATTTGTAAAATCCACACCAACAGGATAGTTTTTGGCTAAAATAGGTCAACTAGAATCCACTTGAAATTCTGAAATTATTTCTGACTCTTTGGTTTTGCTCTAGCAGGATATTAACAATCACTCCCTTATCCTCAGCTTTGTGTATTCATTCTAGAAGAAAAACCCTTCCCAGCAGACACCTATTGCCTGCCGCATGACCACGGCAGGATGGAAAACCTGAAGTTCCACTCTCCGGACTGTAGTAGGGAAGGCAGGAGAGAAGGCAGTCAGACACAGGTGTTGAATAAACCAGTCCAGAGTGTCTGTGGTGTTCTGCATCTTCACCCCCCACTGCCTTTCACCTCAGACCCTATGCCGGGGCCACTCTCTATGGCTGCTGTCCCAAATGTCCCAAATTCYCCAAATATGGCTTTCACACAGCCATATCTTTGGATGCTCTTTAACTCCTCTTGTGGTTTTCTAATCTTGCATCCTTAATTAACCCAACTACCAGCTTTCATGCAGCCCCGAGTCTCAGCCCACTTCCCATATGGGGCATTCTTTGACTCTCCCACCTCGGGTCTCAGGAGGACAGTGCTTCCTTGTTCAGACTGTCCTATCACAATGCCAGATTGTCTTGTGTCTTCCTCATAAGACTTTGAACTCCTCAGGAAAAGAAATTACATCTAATTCATCTTGGCATCCCTAGTTCCTGGAAACCTACTCATAATAGGTTGTTACCATGCCAAGAAATGTTCTGAAATCAAACCAGGTGGTTTGCCTTCAGAGCCTGATGTTGACCAGTTTTGTTTGTAGGTGATTGTGAATAAATCCTGGAAGAATGTCCATCACGTAAATCAGATACTCTAAGTGGTCACCACACACACACACACACACACGCACTTTAATTTAGGAAACATTGGTTGAATACTGTGTAGTAGAAACAGAAGCCACTGCAAGGACACAAAGATGATTGATACAACCTGTCAGATTGGAAGAAGATATTATAATGAAATAAATACCCTAATCAAAGAATGAACAAAATGCTACAGGATACAAAGGGGAGATTGCCAAGGGCCCGAGAGAAGATGTCACAGAGGATGTGCTGCTAGACTTGGTCTTGACAGAGGATGAGATGCTTTTCAAGGTGGAAAGGGGAGTTCCAGGCCGAAGGAACAGCATATACAAGTGTACTGAGGCATCCCACAAACCCCTAAGGTACCATTTAAAACTGTGTGACTTGAGCTCATGGTGTGTACGGACAGGTGATAGCAGCTGGGCTGGGCTTACTGCAGTCACACACAGTCAGCGTGGATCCACTATTCCTTACACATAAAAGCTAATGTTGGCTCCTGGGTCTTACATTGCAACTTAATGAATGAAACGATTCCCTGCTCCTACAGAATTACACAAGTCTTTAAATTTCTATGCAGGAGGGTAAGTGAGAACCAAACTGTCCCACTTTCTGTGTTTACTGACTAATCTACAAAGGATATTCAGTGAGAAATCATTGAAGTTGCAAAAATATCCCTTAATGTGCTGTTTGAATGCTAAATTTATTTCAACAGCTAATGTTGCATCAAACTCTTACACATGACTTTTTTGAATGTCTGTAACAAGTTTGAAACATTTATTTTTGCTGATTAAAACATGCTCAATCTTAGAAAATTTAAAGTTCCTATCAGAATTTTTAAATAAGAAGAGAAAACTAAGAGAAATACATATTAAGTGTAAATGCAAACTAAAATAAATTTAAAAAGAGACTTCCACATTGATGGATCTATCTCCTCTTTGTTATTATTACTGTAATTAGAAGCTATTTTCACCCAGGGAACACTCTTCTTGATTTTCAGGTCTGTTTACTTTCCTGGATGGATATAATGAGCACTTATAAGATTATAGTTATACAGAGAAGTTAAACAGAAACAGCAGCAAGTAAAGAGGCTAGGCTTCTATATTTGGAATACTCCTGTAGAGAGTATATTTAAACCTTCAAATAAAACAAGGAACTCCTAAACGAGAATTTTCAGAAATATCAAGTGAACTGAGTCAATATTAAACTATGGCCTGAGGCCATGGTGCTTATGAGCTTCCCCCTCATTCTCTTGGCCTCTGTCTTCAAGCCTCATGCATGTACTGTCAGCCCTTGCCAATCTGTCCACAGAATGAGATGAGACTGACAAGGCCTAGTTCATGGTGATTRTATTCTAATGTGAAAAAAAGACACCCCTCCAAAAAAAAATGAATAATAGAATTTCAGTGGTAGATAAGTAATCAGAAAGAAATAGCACACTGTTAAATGAGGTTTACATGACTGAGAGAGGCTTCCTTAGATAGCAGTGGTCCCAAGAGGCATTTCTGAATTGCTGTCACCTGAACTGAGAAGCCAGACTTGGAAAGAACTGGTTAGTTCTGCTTCTTGGACAGAGGACCCAGCTGGTGTGAAGGTCTGAGGGTTATGAGCTTGGCACGTTGAAACAAGCAGAAAGATCATCGGGGCTAGAAAACAAGGGCTGGCAGTGGGGAACAAAATGAAGTTGGAGAAGTGCAGGAGCCAACCCACTGTAAGCCATGGAGAGGGCTTGGGGTTTCATTCTAAGGATAATGAGAAGCCATTGCAGTGTTTTTAGTAGGGAAACATCATATTCTAATTAAAATTTTATAAAATCCTTCCCACTACTCTGTGTGAGGTGGATTATTAAAAAAAAAAAAAAAAAAAAAAAAAAAAAAAAAAACATTGGAAGCAGTTGATTTATGCTTGTGGCTCTGAGGAAGCAGCACATGGCACATTAACTCAAAAGCAACCAGAAAAGCTGGCTAGAATGACCTTAAAAAAGAAAAAAAAAAAAAGCATTTGTGATGACATCAGACAACGCATCAAGTCCTAGAAGRAAAGGAGTTTCAAGCGATCCCTCTGCCACTGTTCCCATTGAGAGGAATAAGAGGGTAGGCAGAAAGATGCTGACAAATGAAGAGGGTTTTTGCAGTCTCACAATGCTGAAGAGACAAAATTGGAAGTTCTAGATTCTCCAAGAGACAAGTACCCAGCAAGGCCCCAGGTTCTCAGCTGGACCCCTGGCTGACTATGGTGTAGGATCAGAGCAAATCTGTCATGGAAAACTTCAAGACAACTTACACAGCTTAGTCAGGCCCTGAATGATTAAAATTATCTGATCCCAGTGACAACAGAGACAGATCCATGCAGAGCTCATTACTGGAGTGATCAGAGATAGATTTTTAAATATGATATTATATATTTTTAATCATAAGTTAAACATAAAAAATTAAAAGATAATTTTAAAATGCCCAACTCCCTTGAAAATTAAGTTAAACAAAATTCCTTTA